ACAACCATATGGCTCCTGCCAGTTGCCGATAACTCGGTTACAAAACATGATCATCTCATACAATAAAATTTAGCATCATGTCTTGACCATATCACATCACAACATGCCCTGCAAAAACAAGTTAGACATCCTCTACTTTGTTGTTGCAAGTTTTACATGGCTGCTACGGGCTTAAGCAAGAACCAATCTTACCTACGCATCAAAACCACAACGATAGTTTGTCAAGTTGGTGCTGTTTTAACCTTCGCAAGGACCGGGCGTAGCCACACTCGGTTCAACTAAAGTTGGAGAAACTGTCACCCGCTAGCCACATTTGTGCAAAGCACGTCGGGTGAACCGGTCTCGCGTAAGCGTACGCGTAATGTCGGTCCGGGCCGCTTCGTCCAACAATACCGCCGAACCAAAGTATGACATGCTGGTAAGCAGTATGACTTATATCGCCCACAACTCACTTGTGTTCTACTCGTGCATATAACATCAACACATAAAACCTAGGCTCTGATACCACTGTTGGGGAACGTAGTAATTTCAAAAAATTTCCTACGCACACGCAAGATCATGGTGATGCATAGCAATGAGAGGGGAGAGTGTGATCTACGTACCCTTGTGGACCGACATCGGAAGCGTTAGCACAACGCGGTTGATGTAGTCGTACGTCTTCACGGCCCGATCGATCAAGCACTGAAACTACGACACCTCCGAGTTCTAGCACACGTTTAGCTCGATGACGATCCCCGGACTCCGATCCAGCAAAGTGTTGGGGAAGAGTTCCGTCAGCACGACGGCGTGGTGACGATCTTGATGTTCTACCGTCGCAGGGCTTCGCCTAAGCACCGCTACAATATTATCGAGGATTATGGTGGAAGGGGGCACCGCACACGGCTAAGAATATGATCACGTGGATCAACTTGTGTGTCTAGGGGTGCCCCCTGCCCCCGTATATAAAGGAGCAAGGGGAGGTGCGGCCGGCCAGGAGGAGGGCGTGCCAGGAGGAGTCCTACTCCCACCGGGAGTAGGACTCCCCCCTTTCCTAGTTGGAATAGGATTCGGGAGGGGGAAAGAGGAGAGAGAGAAGGAAGGGGGGCGCCGCCCCCTCTCCTTGTCCTATTCGGACTAGGGGGGAGGGGCGCACGGCCAAGCCCTGGCCACCTCTCCTCTCTTCCACTAAAGCCCACTAAGGCCCATATACCTCCCGGGGGGTTCCGGTAACCTCCCGGTACTCCGGTAAAATTCCGATTTCACCCGGAACACTTCCGATATCCAAATATTGGCTTCCAATATATCAATCTTTATGTCTCGACCATTTCGAGACTCCTCGTCATGTCCGTGATCACATCCGGGACTCTGAACAAACTTCGGTACATCAAAATGCATAAACTCATAATATAATTGTCATCGAAACCTACAGCGTGCGGACCCTACGGGTTCGAGAACAATGTAGACATGACCGAGACACGTCTCTGGTCAATAACCAATAGCGGAACCTGGATGCTCATATTGGCTCCTACATATTCTACGAAGATCTTTATCGGTCAGACCGCACAACAACATACGTTGTTCCCTTTGTCATCGGTATGTTACTTGCCCGAGATTCGGTCGTCGATATCTCAATACCTAGTTCAATCTTGTTACCGGCAAGTCTCTTTACTCGTTTCGTAATACATCATCTTGCAACTAACTCATTAGTTGTAATGCTTGCAAGGCTTATGTGATGTGCATCACCGAGAGGGCCCAGAGATACCTCTCCGACACTCGGAGTGACAAATCCTAATCTCGAAATACGACAACCCAACATTTACCTTTGGAGACACCTGTAGAGCTCCTTTATAATCACCTAGTTACGTTGTGACGTTTGATAGCACACAAAGTGTTCCTCCGGTAAACGGGAGTTGCATAATCTCATAGTCATAGGAACATGTATAAGTCATGAAGAAAGCAATAACAACATACTAAACGATCGGGTGCTAAGCTAATGGAATGGGTCATGTCAATCACATCATTCTCCTAATGATGTGATCCCATTAATCAAATGACAACACATGCCTATGGTTAGGAAACATAACCATCTTCGATTAACGAGCTAGTCAAGTAGAGGCATACTAGTGACGTTTGGTTTGTCTATGTATTCACACAAGTATTATGTTTCCGGATAATACAATTCTAGCATGAATAATAAACATTTATCATGATACAAGGAAATAAAATAATAACATTATTATTGCCTCTAGGGCATATTTCCTTCAATATCTGCTCCCGATTCCTGCAGCGTATACGGCCACGCAGCCGAAATCATCGCGTGTTTGCCTTGGTACAACATAACGCAACAACATCTCGCCGTAGCAGCTACCTTGCGCGATGCACGCGACACGCCTACACATGGGCCTCATGCTTCCACGTTGGCCTCGCTCGGCCAACCCTTCAGGACGCCCTAGCGAACCCTTGCACTTCTGCTGCCGCAGTCACACGTCTGCCACCATCAACCTGCTACAGCCGCCTGCTCCGATCCGACCGTTGTTCTTGCCGTCGATTGCATCTGCGGACGAACTCGCTATCAGTTCATCCACACCGATGCCTTCGATCATAACCTCCAGATCAACAGTCGTGGCCTCCAAATAACCTAGCTCATGATACCACTTGTTAGAATAAATCCGAGGCATACCGTCGATCATCCGAGGATCAAGCAACTACACGAGCACGACACCGAGATTTGTTAACGAGGTTCACCGATATGGATACATCCCCGGGGCCTGACTATGGGCGCTCCTCCCCATGACACCGCTACAATACCGCATCCGGTCGCCCTGGACACCGGCACATGCCGCCGGCTTCCCCTGCGTTCCGGTGCTATTATGTTGGCATAGGTTACATCGTGTGTCTACCCTCGCTATATAAGAGAGGCCTAGGATACAAGTGTCCTATTAGGACACGACCCCATATCCTATCTAAACACAATACAACTCATAGTCCAACTGTAACCTACCTTGTACACAATATTCGACACAACTCTAACAAGTTTCAACTGCTGAAACTGAAACTTAAAATGTGGTGTTCTCCACGTGCGGAATCCAATAACTTTGTAGATCGCAAGGCAAATTGGGCGGCCGGACATGTTTCGACTACTAAAACATGATGGCAATGATGTTGAATTTAGCAAGTTTCAAAAACTTAAACTTAAACCCTAAGCCCTAAGAGCAGAACCCTAAAAGTGTTTGTAACTTGGTAAAACTTAATGTTACAACTATCAAATTTCAATATTTGAAACTTGGGTCATTTTTAAGCTGTCGAAACGTATTCAAGACTGGTCTTGTTTGAAAGTTTTCATCGCGATGAAAACAAATATGTAAACAAAACTTAATTTTGGACTTTCGGTTCAAACTATAAAGTAGATTAAAATTAAAAGGTCAATTGAAATAGACATGGGGGACATGGGAGATGGGGTTGACGGGCATATGCAACTCTGGCAAAAGCTTCAAAGAGTCTGCATGAATGGACTCGGCCCTACAGTGCTGAAAGCCTTAAGACTAATCAAGTTTACGAATCTTAAAGCAATCAAACTGCTGGGCACGACTAGGTAAGTACGTGCCCAGCACTTGCGCGTCCCTGCGATTTCCGGTTGAATAGGGTGCATCCGAAGTTTAAAGTTCAAATCAGGGCTGGAGTTTCTGCTTTACTTTTTCGGGTAATATGGAATTGTCGCATTGGGTATGTTTTTGACATGGCGAAAGCTATCCATTTTTGCTCGTCATCTACATAGCAACTTACTGGATTCTATGTTTGCCGGGAGAGGGGCCGAGCGTCCACGGTCTTTAGGTGGATCCTATGAGAAATGGTTGCTTGGAATCTGTTCAACGGATTTGGAGGGCGGCCTAATAACCCGCCTAGTCCTCCTGGCCTTTTGTTTTTCTATTTAGACATCAATCAGAATGACAAGAACAAGTCCCACACATAGTCTATACACCATACACATACACGTATACACATACAATACCCACCTCCACTTACACACTAAAACGGCTTTTACAATACAAAGCTCAGATGTGTTAAAAAAAAAAAGCTGAGATATGGCACCACATGCAATAATACATAACACACGCAAATTCAGCAACGCAAACATCATCAGTATCTTTTTTTCCTTTCGAAACCTAACCATCTTCTAATATATTTTGTTGGGAACTCAATTAACCATTCCGGCAAAAAAACCTTAATTAATTAACCATGGATCTGATCTAGTAACACTGTAGTATGTGCGCGGGAGCTAGCAGGTAGCTAGCATGCAGACGCGGCGCTCGTGGCCCGCGCTGGGCTGCTATATAAGCTGAGGTAGGCTGCGTGCGACCGCTTCCCTCTCTAGCTACTAATCTTGCCTTGTCGTGCTGTTCGCGGAGCTGCAAGGAAGGAAGGAAGGAAGTGTGGTAGGATCACCATCAGCTCGCAATAATACCTGCACGCCCATTTTGTTGTGTAGCCCTTGTCAGCGAACCTCG